AGATATAGTGAGATAAGCACAAACGTAAGAAACAATAAATAACCTACTGTCTTTCACCATTCTATTATAACCTGAAAATATACAGAAAAAACATTAGGTTTCAAAGAACCTGAGCTCTCAGAAGTAATGAAGCGGTAAATTACAATCGGAATTCGTCAAAGATGAATATTAAAGTCTTCAATTCAAGATATTGGAAGCGACGTAGTTTCAAAATTTTGCGTCAGATTGACATATTCTTTCTTTTCCTTTGTCTTTTATGACGGGTTGGAGTTGATAGACAGTCTTGGCAGGATTTTCTTGTGTCAGTTTTTGTCTTGTACACATTCATGATAAGACATTTTGGAGTCATTGAAATTAATACTGTTGATTTTATTCTTTGCTTTAAATATGGAATACGTTTTTGTCTTTTCAATGTATCCAGCCAGTAATACTTTTAATACCACAGCATACCTCAAGGGACGATCTCCGGCCACCGTAAGCACGGGCCTGCGGTCGGCGAGTAAGGGCAGCTCGCCGCCCGACCAGAACCAGGCCCGAGCGTAAGGCGCGTAGCGTTCCGCGCGCGCCTCAAAGAGCCATCAGACCACCACAGACGGGGCCCTAAAGGGCTGATATTCAGCCGGGGTTGCGGGGTAAGCGCAATGAGGCACCGCGACCTCGGCACAGAGCAGGAGAAGGAACAGGGTGGTTTTTAGTCATTAAGAGTCTGACACTCCCTCCTTCCCGGCCCTGGGCGGGAGAAGTCATTTGATGATTTTCACCTCACAAAAAAAAAGCATACCTTTTACCTTTATTTGAAAAAAGAATATGTGAACTTTAACGAATAGCATGTAATTGTTTGTATTTTTAAACTATGTTTTCAAAGGTTTATTTGAGATATTTCAAAGTGCAAGCTCAGATAAATAAACAATTTTAATGAAGTTGTTTTAGGTTCATAATGTTGTGTAAGCTACAAAGTTTGTAAATAGAACAGTGTGCAGAAAAACGTAAATTAATAATTAATATTCTAAATCGAGGAGTGCTGAAGCCTAGAAGTTCACATTTCGACACTGGTTTCTGTCACTAATTTTATTACTGTTAGTCTAGCGGACATTTATTTGCTACACCTCTATTAATTAGACGTAGGACTACTCTACTTGTCCCGGAAAGCTCGTAAATTTTGGCAATAGGGTAAGCGCAAATATAACACTTTTATTTGAACAATTATTTTGCACTGTTAAGGTAATATGAACATCTATACTTCTATGACAAATGCGAAAGTAACTCTGTCTGTGTCTGTCTTTTCTTCACGCCTGAACTACTGAACCGATTTCTGCAAAATTTGGTACAGACATAGTTTGGAACTCGAGAAACAGACATAGGATAGTTTTTTTTTACCAAAAAAGGAAGTCACGATTCTACGCGAATGGAGTCGCGGGCAAAAGCTATTAGTTAATAATACTGTCAACGTGATAACGATCACGCATTTAGATGTTTTTGGTAGGTAAAGTCATCATATGACTTCTCTCGCCAAGGGTATGTATGGCAAGAGGGAGTGTCAGACTCTTACTGACTAAAAATCTCATCGTTTCTTCTCCTGCTCCAGGCCTAGGCCATGGTACCTTATTGATCACGCATTCACTGGGTAGTGTAAAAGCGTGCATAACACCGACTAAATGGTGGATCCACCGCTTTTGGCGCCTCTTTTTTCACTTTTTTTAGGAAATAAATCGAATGATATCGATTATTTATAACAACTCCATGTACCTACTATACAGTTTAATTGTGTAGTTTTTTTAATTCACGATAAGTTCACAACTCGACTACTAGTTTCGGATAGTTTATTTAGTCGATTTAAAGTTATATGTATGCGCTAGCCTTTAGAGTGTGCTTGTAGTTGAGGTCGGAATAAATTCATATAGAACTTCTACCATATTAAAATTGAAAGCTGGAAGTGGTTTTGTTAGGCATATATAACATGATTTTGTTATTTCCCTATGGTGAAATCGGGTTAAAGACATTAATAATATTCAAATATTTCGGTGATTCTTGTATCCGACTGTTTTTAACTGACTTCAAAAAAAGGAGAAGGTTCTCAATTCGATTGTATTTTTTTCTTCTATGTCGTATTGATAACACTTATGGTACATTAGTTTAGCCGATAACTAATTATTTCTTAGAAGTCTTACTATATTAAGCGAAGGCCCAATTGTTAGCTATCCACCCATTCCCAATCCTCAAATCCCCTATCCTTAAATCCCTAATAACCCACAAGAGGCCGACAACGCACTTGTAGCAACTCCTTTCATACTACGAGTGCCAATCGACGGCGCTGATTGCTTACCACCAGGTAATACGGTAGTTTCCACCTAGTCAAATTCAATACTTTTATCCAAATGTCAAAAACGGTGCTTTTCTATGAAATTTGTATGAAAAACTGAGGTATGACGTCATAACAGTTTTGCGTCAAATAGCTTACTTATTTCTGAATAATGAGCTAAAAAAATCTAAAACTTAGTGTATCCATCGATCGATGAATAAAAGTATAGTTATTTTTCAATATTTTATTGTATTAAAACGTCGAATTAATTTATTTTTGACCTAGGACACTACCCAATTCGCGTGCCGTTTATCGACCTGTGTCATAAAAAAAGTTTGTATTTTTTATGGTAAAGGTCGGCAAACAAGCAGACGGATTACCTGATGGTAAGCAATCGGCGCCGCCCATGGACACTCGCAACACCAAAGGTGTTACGAGTGCGTTGCCGGCCTTTTGCGGATAGGGGTTGCGGATATAAGGATCGGAAAGGAATAGGGGAAGGGAAGGGCAACAATAACACACATAAACTATCTTTGAATGATAATATTCACGATCAGATCAAATAGCATCTATGTATGCCCTGGTTGCCTTTCATTGTTCCCGCCTATTGATAAATATTTATCTTCCCCATTAAACATTGTCAACCACACGTCATCGTAGCATATGTGGTCAAATGCTCCACCGTGTTTACGAAAATAACCTTTTTATGCTTGGATATAAAGGCGGTATTTCTATGGCCGTGTCTTTGACTATTGCTAAACGTTGTGTTAAGGACACGATATGTTTATGAGCCAGGCGTGAGCGCAAACATTTATGCTATTACCCTTGCTCCAATTATATTAACCCTGTTATACTTGACCTACATACGATATAAGTGATATTTTCGCAAAAACCCCAAGCAAAAGAACACTTCCTATAAAAGATCAATGGGACGTATTCAATAATTATTTATTTCCACGTGTGAGTATCTATCTATGTAACGAAAGTATTTGGTATTTTAAACGCACTTCCCGGCTATAAAAACAATCATAAGGTCTTAAGAGACTAAATGAAAATATAAATTCGATTTAATATTTTGTCAACAGACCAAAGAGTTCAAATTACTATGTATATAATATCAAATAACAGTAAATGAATTCACTTGTAAAATCCCTTAGCACTTGAGGTGTTAAAGGTCTATCGGCCTTCTACTACGATTGAGGTCGCATAACCTTAAACAGATTACAGTAGACCGAAACATAATAACAACACCTACGCATTTAGGTGCTAAAACTTCAAAGGCCTCTTTCATTTATTACGAAGAAACTAAATCCTACGATCAATGAATTTGACCAAAGAGGATTTTTAAGGACCAAGACTCTTTTGATATTTTAGACACTTGGTTCGAAGGTAGCTTAAAATAGATTTTTTTTCTACCTTTTCATTGAAATTTGCTTTGGTGACGTACTTATTTTTAGGTGCTGTCTCTTAGAGACCTAAGAGACTAGCTGATTAGTCAAGATTTGACTAACTGGTGTTGTCATAATGCAGTACCGTAAATTGAAGTACGTATTAAATTCCGTTAATCGTGGTAGTTTTTTGTTTGAGAAAATGTTAATCGTTTTATTAGGAAGGTGATGAAAAGTTTGATTTTTGTTATTAAAACATTTACGTTCAATAAGATAATGGGATATCTGCATGAGTTACCTACCACATCCTTTTTGTGAAAAATTGACACAGACATTACGAGGATTAAACAACAAAATGAAGTGTATTTATCAAATATCAGAGGTGGAATTTATTGTTATACTGACTTTAGGAGGTGAGTGTTGCCTGAAGGCGTTAGCAGAACAAAATACAGGCGAGATTCAAACACCTCAGTGAGGTTTGGGTGGCCATTGTATATGTACATATTTATAAATTGGTAAATTTATTGAAATAACGACTTACTTAGGTGAACGAACTGAGAAAAGTTCTGCTAGTTTCAATTCACAGCGGGACTCTTATTCATAGGATTTCAATAAATCTAATATGTATCACAATAGTTACTATTCAAAAACTGTTTAATCCTTACAAACTCCTCTCCAAGGTTTGGTCATAGAATTGCTATTATACTTTAGAAGTATTTTTCATGAATAATAAAGCAAGAGTACCTGTTAATTAATAGACTATCAGACTATGATATCAAACTATTTGAAGTTAGTATCGCGTGTACGATCAAAGCTTACGTCCCAAATGTGCGGTGGACTGCGAAGACGCGATTCACAAGCTAACCCAGCTGGAAACCCTGCACGCATCAAAACAGTCTATAATTATGACACAAACAACTATGTAAATATGGATTTATGTAAACAGTCGCTTTTGTAAACTTATTAAAATGGAAAAAAAGATAATTTTACTGTTTTTTCTGTGATTAATCTGTTTTAGAAGCAATTTTACGGAAGACTTGGGAGTTGGCACATGGACATGTATCCATCAATATTTACTAACAGAATGTCTTAATTATCTGCACGTATAGGTATGTCACTTGTTTTTTAGCGTGAAATAAAGTATTTTTCTTTCTATTTCTTATTCCAATAAACTCGACCACGACTCTTAGGCTTGCCTGTAGACTTTTGTGCGTGTATAAATAACAACAATTTAAAATCACGAAATACATAGTAATATATTATGTTTTTACGAAAATTGTAGTCGTCTAATCAATGTGTTTGTTTTGTTGCAGGCAATGAAGGATCGGGTACGAAATCGGTAAGTGTCAAACTCAATTACAGAAGTATCTCATTAAATTTTCATAGAGGTAGAATATACATAGTATATTATTATTGTTTTAATATGCTTGTTGCCTATGCTTAAGTGTGTTCTTGTAATATTTATTATATGAATATAATATTTAAGCGTAAATCTGTTTGTCAAATAAATACTTTTTTTCTTTTTTTACGTAGGTATGTAGATATGTAGTCTTATAAACGTGCTTAAATCATGACATACGACACGAGGGAATTCCATATCTAAGCAGTTATATTTAGAACTCGTTTTCCAATAATGTTACAGAAAAGTATTTTAATACCTCTAAGAATCCAATCTCGAACGCGATATAAACATTTTTTTCTATAAGCATTGAATATTTTCTCCATATTGAAATATCTTTTATAAACTCATCGTACAATTTTTCTTGAGTTTGAATTAAAATTACTTCTTTGTCTCGATAAATAAATTGAATGGTGTGTTTATGATTCTTATTACTTTCTTGCTTGTTTACTGAGAAAATAAAAATGGAGGATTTTGAAGTATTATTATCAATATTTGTGATGAGTATTGTTTTCTTACTCCTAATTGAGGCAGAGCCATTCCACGCAGCCGTCCAGGTTTCTCCACAGATAATAACGCTTCCCGGCATGACTAAAAAACTAGTAGACCTTTTTTCGGTGTAATTTCTCGCTTAGTTTACATCAGTAGCGAGTTAATGTTAAGTCGTTAGTTTAAATAAATTATGCCATACTTTTGTAAGTTACCTAAAAAATTAATACGGTAGCTGAAACGGTTTGACTCAATCAAATAATTGCATCACATATTCCACTTTAGAAATGCATAAATAATTCCAACAGTGTAGCACTTACATTCTCCTAACAGCCAATCTCACATATCTATTACAATTTGCATCGAACTGACCATTTTATAGCAAATATTCCCAAATCAGTACAGAACCCTTCACTTGGCTTTTACTCGAAATGCTTTGCAAATTCCCAACAGGGATCCGCTCAAGTGAAAAAGGACTGCAATTGAGTGCAAGCTCTCGACCAATAAACTGTAATAGGACACAGGAGAACTGTGACAAAACTATAAAGAAGTTAAAATGTTTGTATGTCTCTCCATTAACTATTTTACTTTAAAAGTAAAATAAGAAAACAGGTTTTTATGAGCTGAAAAGTGATAGGTATCTACTCATTGTATCTTCTTAAAAATCTTATTCTAATTCAAATTCTTTATTAGCATTCCATATGTTATTTAACAGGTTCTTTAAGGATTAGACTCAATAGAGTCTATAGGGTCTCCCTAGAGCCTCTAATAGACTAGTATAGGAGTACTGTAAATATCTAATTCGCCATATATGTGGCAAATAACATTCAGATCCATACAGTAGGAAAATCCCCTTATCGCCAAAAGGCTGGCAATACACTTGCAATTGCTTAGGTGTTTTGGTTGCCCAGGGACGGCGCCGATTGCTTATCATTAGCTATCCAATCCTTAGGCTCGTTTCGTTTACCATAACAAATTTTATGTATAATATAAAAAAATACTTTTGGGGATTGCTCGCTCTAGTTCAGACAGAGATACGGATATATAGACAGAGTACTTACTTAACTTCTTCAATTAATTAATAATGTAAAACAAGGCAACGTTCGCGAACTGTACTAAGTTTCGTTTTCTATTGAGTCAGCCCGATTTTATACAGTAGCAGGTCTAGGCTGTATTAAGATTACTCAGCGATTCCTAAACGTAGTAGACCTGGCCATTAACGTAATTCCTCTCCCTGGAATACTCTTTAATGTCCATAATCCTTATAGCTGAGCATTAAAGTAAATATGGATTACAGTACCTACATTTTCCATTCTAAAAGACTTCTTATCTTAGAGTAAAGGAAATATTTTATCAACGATATTATCTATATATTAAGTATCCAAATATCCTTTGATTTTATGAATGGTTACCTATACTTACTTTATTTTTCCAAAAGAGATTTTTGTTGGGAAGCCTTAGTGATATGGAATATGCACAAAATTCTTAATCAGGGTGAATATAATTTGTAACATATTGTTGATTTCGTTCGTTTATTTCAATAAGGGGTAAGCAAATGTGTATACTTTTTTTTTCTCATCTCGGCTGGACTTAGACTAAGTGACTTTCACTGACTAAAAACCACATCGTTCCTTCTTCTACTCCGAGTTGGGACGCGTTACATACTTAATTTCGCTCTCACCCGTTACCATAGCTGGAAAGGTGTAAACTACCAACATACGAGTTCAGTATCGATTATGACAATTAAAAAAAAAAAAAATTCCTAATTCGCATTCTAGCTTTTGATGTTTTAATTATGTAGAGTAGAGCCTGGTTTCTAATACTAAGAATTTACAATACTCCAAACGGAACAATATTACACCTGGGTGCAAGCACAAGGGCGAGGTAAAGTTAATTTATGTATGAAGAAATACATACACCAGTCGAACAAACAACAGCAAATTAAACTACCCCAAACTGATCAAATTACTTAATAAATTTTCTACTTAATTGCAAGAGCATAAGGTTTCAAATCTAAAATTAAAACTTTGTGGTTGCTAGTATTGCTGGTTCTGTATAATAAAACCGAGATGTTTAAAGACTTGGAACTTGATAAGAGTATAGCAACTAATATTAGCACTCCAGTTTAATATAAATTCTAGAATATTCTTACAACGTGACAGATTAGACTAAACATATTCTTGACTCTAAGGAGGTTAAGTCTGTCAGTAATTACTACTAGCTTCATTCCACAGCATTACATTTTCCCACTATTCATAGAATCATAAATTATTCTTAAAATCTAAGTCTTCTCTGGTTTTATAAAACTAAACATTATGTTTGTTTGTTTATCCAGGGAGGAGAAAAATATAAACGCTACTGTCATTAGTCTATAAAACAAAAATGAAGCGCCAAAAGTGTTGTTAAGCGCAAATCTCAAGAACAACTGAACAGATTTTTTTTTGTCTACGATAGCTGTTGCCAGGAGAAAAGTTTTGAAGCTAAATCGGGATTTAGCAAAATTATACTTATAGATGCGTGTTATTCCGTTAGCAAAACAAATTATTGATAAAGAGGTAGTTGGACTAGGATACCCGTGCGAAGGAGAGGCAGGCCTTTTGTAAACTTAACTTAAACATAATACGAGCCTGGTCTCTTAGAGAAAATATGGTATATAGTGTATTTACCTTCATAATTTACAAGACGTCTTCGTCTTTTGTAAAGGTTTGTGCTTCTATACTTTAGATTTGTATAAACACTTAATTTATTTCGTCAATTCACAAAGGAAAGATTTTGTTTTAGATTTATAGATTTAGTTCTAATAGAAACCAAATGGTTGTTTTTCTTGCGAAATTAGTAATTTGTTTGTTGGAAAGATGTTATTGAAGACTTCGAAATTCTTTAAGCATATTTTTTTACCATTTAGTTTATTTGTCATTAAGGTAAATAATGTTAACGGACTATGTTAGACATCCTTGATTAACATAACTATCCTTATATATATTATCTAAGTCCAAACGTAGTTAAAGTGCATCATTACACTGTTTTAGATTACCTGTATACCTGTTATAATTTACATAAACTTCACAATAATTATGTACATACATATAAATAAAGGTAGGTATGTATAGGTACTTTCCATTCACGTAGCAATTGTTTTTCCGCTGACTAAACAAGGGCTTTAAACTTAATGTTCTCGACCTGTCTCGATCCCAAAATAACCACATTATGTACACATTCACAGAGACTAAAGGTTTACAAAATACATACAAGCAGGTCTTAAAATAACTTTGGTCTTTCAAATTGAAATAGCTTTATTGAGTACTCTTACAATGGCTGTTGTTTGCTTCCATTTAAAAGGGAATCATTTTGGCTTTTATCGTCTGCTTGTAAATAAAAAATAAAAGTCATCGGTCTACGGAAGGGTTCTTGTATTTATTATGTTCCTTAAACGATTAAGGTTAAGGTTTCAATTAATAGGATTTAGGAAGAAAACTTGAATATGAAATATATAGATTGTAATGGATCCGACATAAAGAATCGAGGTATTCCTCGTAGCGCTCCCGTTTTGAAACGCTCCCATCTAAGCGCTCCCGTTTTATTCCTCTAAGCGCTCCCAAAAGGAGCGCTTCGAAGAACGATTAAAAATATTAAAATTTATTTTCTCGAAGCGCTCCCACGTTTAAAAATAGGGAAAAGCATGAAGTAAACGTAATGAATTATATCGATAATTTTTAAAAACTCATGTGTGCATCATCGACATCGAAGTTGCTTAACCAAATTACGAAATTGAGAGAATAATATCTTTTTGCTTTCGGCACTCTTATGTGTATACAAGGACCAATGTTATTAATACTTTTTTCTTTCTGATTACATTTTATCTTTCGTTTTGGGTATACCTAGTCCTTTAATCAACTCTTATGACACCCGTTTAAGGGAAAAGAGACTAGAGTTTCCTAAAATCGAAAAAGGAGAATTCCCAACCTGACAAGGTTACCTACCTAGCGGACTACTGCCCGATTGCGCATTGATTGGGATTTTATATCCGTGTGTGTGTGTGAGCACAAAGTAGAATGTGTGACGTTATCAATCAGTTGTTTCAATTCATTAGTCGATCTTCTAAGGGCACTGTCATTCCATTCCATTGTATTATAATTTTTTTTTTTTAATTTGTTATTACGTTTTACGTTAAATTCACGTATCAGTAAAAAAATTAAGTTATTTTAGTAAGAAACGCTTGACCACCTAAAAACGGGCGTGGTGTTTGATAACATGTCTAAACATGTATTAATATTTCATTTTCACTTTTCTTCGAATAATATTAAATAAAAATGTATTTATAGACGAATAATAGATATTTATACAAATGTCAATTTCAAATGTTGGGTAAATTCATTTCTATTTGTATGAAGAATCTTCTTAGAATTTATTTATAGAGACGTTTATTGTTCCACAAAACGAGTAATTGGATT